TAAAGGTCAGGGGAGAGAGCTGCATGTGATGTCCCGCACCTTCAAATCAAGAATTCCTGCATTAAAAATTTTGCCTGGAGAAGTCTCTAATTTGTTTCAGACCATCATCCCTTCCATCAGAAGAATCTGCTATAACCTCGCAAAGAGTTTTCCAAATCCATGGTATATACATGAGGTCTTCCATACAATGAAATGCTTTCTCTCCCAAGGAGATTAATATATAAATGCTGTTCTAGAAGCTTTCCCCCATGCCACAACCTGCACCAAAGAGCTCTGATTACAGTTTATCTTCCTTTTAACCATGCTGCAGGCCTGGTTTTGACAAAAGTAGAACTTTTCAAATATAGAAAGGGTTTCAAAGTCTCAGTATCCTTGTTTATAGCCCCATAAAGAGGCTTAAATCAATGACAAAGAGGCATCTTAGTGCACCAGCTTACAAAGAAACAGGTTTATTTCTAGAAAAAGAAAATTGTAGACAAAGTTAAAGAAGCAGAGTTCTTTACTCTGAACATGGCAATCATCAGGCTTTCTGCCCACTTGCTAATCTGCAAGCCCAAGACAACAGTCTCATGGTTTCAACCTTAAAGGAAATAAAAAACAAGGAATGTTTTTTCTCTCCAATCTTATTTCTCTCCAAAGTTCAATTTATTTTGATCCCATTACATATCATAGGTAAAATAACTAGCTTTTAGCTTCCATTCTGTATATCAATAAAAGGAAGATACAAATTAAAATAAGAACTACAGAGGGATGTCTCGCTTACTGACTTCCATCTAGGGGCATTTTTGTGTCCTTGCAAGCCTGTGTGAGACAAACCTGAAAGGAAAGAGAAATCAATCAGTACTCAGAGGCACTGGTACAGCCCACAACCACCTGCAGCTTCAGCCTAAAGCATAACTTTGCTTTTCAGAGCAGTGACAGCAGCTCTTTTCCCCACTGTGTATTGAGCCAGATGTGATGCAAAGCTACTGCTTCTCCCTTCCCTCCTCCACGCTCCTTTACCTCTGACATCAGCCAAAATTCAAGACAAGGGGCCAGGGGGAGTTTCTACTGCAGCTCAACAATCCTCTGACTGGTGACAGAGGGACAGCACTGCCTTACAGCTGTGGCTCACAAAAACACCCAGACTTACTGACAGCTTCTTCATGAGCCCTTGGGCCTTGGGGTTCAGCTGAAGAAAATTCTTCTTGGTCAAATCCTTTTCTGTCAAACGTATGCTCTGTGGAAACAAACTCAAATCTCACATTTTCTGTCTAGCCAGCTGCAGCAGCTGGAGACAGTAAAAAAGTTAAATAAAATAAAAGAGATTAAGATCTAAGTACAGACAGGCAGACAGACATTCAGCTGGAGCAGAAACTCATCTCACACCTTTCCTGAAGAGCATTAATGCTATACTGGCCGTGGTGGTTTAAAATAGCTTGATTTGTGGTGAGGGGGGATAAAACCAGTGAGTGAATGATTTTTTTTTTTGTGGGTGAACTGGCAGTTGGCCAGCATCAAACCCACTACACTGGCACTACAGCTGCTTTAAGTGTTTTAAAGTGAATGCACACTGAAACACCCTCCTGTTCTGTTTCAACCAGCTTGAGCAGGTCCCACTTCTGGCTAAGACTCTCTGGAGGTTTAAGCTCAATCAATCCCTTAGATAAACTGCAGTGGCACAGCTAAAGAGTGGATGAACCGAAGCTGGAGATGCACCCCTGTGCACCCCTGAAGCTCTGCCTGAGAAGGTGAAGAGACAGGAGTTACCTCCCCCCTGCCAAGGGGAATGGTGAGGGGTGACATCCTCAGGGTTGGTGAGGGGGCTAAGAGTCTCTTGGCTAAGAGTCTCTTGAGGTTTGTTTTAAGCTCAATCAACCCCTTGCCAAAGTGCAGCGGCACAGCTAAAGAGGCAGGAGTTACCTCTCCCCCGCCGAGGGGCACGGTGAGGATGACGTCCTCGGGCTCGGCCAGGGGGCTGCCCTTGGCAGAGAAGGTGTACACCCGCTCATTGATGGCAGGCGTGCGCAGACCCGGCGTCCTGAACACCCTGAAACGAGATAGCAGTGAGTGCTGTTTGCTCACAGCACTCCTAGTCCAACTCTTTCGTTTCAGGTTCCAAGAGCTACTAAAGGCTGTGTTGTAAACAGATGGAGTGAAGCAGATTGGATCAGACATGGAAGGGAAACGTATTTATTGTCTGTGTTAACAAACCTGGGATCAAATCTGGGTGTAATCATGGAGGTGCCTCCCTGAGCACAGATATCAACCATTCTGCCAGTAGCTGGAGTGATGAAGCTGTTTTTGCTTGATCTGTTAAAGGGAAATAAACAGCTGTGCATAACATGACCTTTAACAAGTGCACAGGCACTTGTCAAAGGCTTGAAGAAGGTGACCACCACTAAACCCAAGAGTTATTACTGACCTGTGACCCCCAAAACTCGGGACAGCTCGTTCTCACAGGAGAGGCAGCTGTCCATCTTTTGTTCACATCAATTTTGCCCTGTGGTGTGGCACAAATCTCCCCTCCACCACTAGTGAACCAAAGCCCATCCCACCAAAGAGATATTTATATTTGCACTCTCACTCTCCATTCCTAGAGATGCGACAGACATTCCCATTTACCTCTTGCTCATGCCCTTCACTGTCGCTGAGGGAGGTCTTCTGGCTGTGGGTGGCTTTTTGGTGGATGCCTTCACCTAGAGCACACATCACTAGATCAGTTACTTCCCTCCCGTGGGACAGCTGAGTCCAGACAAACAGAGGCTCCCACACAAAATGCTCAGTCCCTTTCTGTGGCACAAGAGCCCAGAACAAACACCATTCAAGCCTTTGGGACCCTCCCCCATTGCTAGAACTCTCTGGGAAGCAACAGCTGTGGGCAGTCTCCCTCAGAGCATCCTGGACAGCCCTAGTCATCAGCTCAGTCAGGAATTCCTATCCTGAGAATAATGTCAGCCCAGAGAACAGCTATCCACCTTGGCAGTCCTTGTGTCCCCAGCCTCAGCCTCTGACGAGCACTGGCTGGCAAGTCGGGATCGCTTTTGCCGGGGAAGTGATGTAGGCTCTGCTTCCTCATCAGCTTCAACACTCCTTTTGATTTTACTCACTACAAAGAGAAAGCGTTATCTAAGTAAATAATAAACTTTAAATTACTATTTAGCAGGGAAGGCAAACAGCTACAAGCAGTTTTGGCAACAATTTCCTTCAAATATCCAAATTCCAATGCAATCCTAATGGTTGCCAGAGCAACTCTGGATTATTTTGAATGTTTTAATGAAACTAATTAGATATAGTGCAGGTACCAGGGATAAAAGTAGGATTATTTTCTTGGTTTAAACATACTGAGGCATGTGAGCAAGAACTGAATTATTATTCACATTAAGTAACCACAACATGCTTCCACCTCACCAATCATGCCACAATGCTTAAACTCACCTTTTTCAGCAACATCCAGCAGGGGATCGATGCCTTCTGTGCTGAGCCTGCGGATTTTTGTTATTTCCCTGTCCACCTAAAATTAAAAACACTTGTGGCACCATTGGGATTGTTGGCAGCCCAATGTTTGTGTAAGCCTAAGTTGTAGAGCAAACCTCCAATAATTTTACAGCCAAATAAGCTACATACTGTGCTCAAACTGGGCTCTTTCACACATCTCTGCCCTCCCTCAGGACTCAGTGCCTGGCTGGCAGCTGCAGGTGTACCTTTCCTACACCCTGCTGCTCAACCCGCTTGGAAATGCTGTCCTTTACAGTCCTCAACACTTTGGAAATGCAAAAGTGCCTGTGCTCTCAGGGATTCGGGAGTGCTCTCTAGCAGCTAAGGAAAGATCAACAGGGAGCAGCAGGACCACGTAAACCCCACCTCTGATACAACAGGCTTCTCTTACTGTTAAATTTTAAAGAAACATTTGTAAAAGTATTGATGTAACTGTTTCTCTTGTAATGCTCCAGTGTGAGGAGCAGAGTGGGATGGCTCTAGAGAGCTTTATGTCTGTTCTGGAAACCTACCTTAGCCACGTCCTCTGGTGTGTTTTTACTTCTTGCTAGAGCTAGAAAGAAAACACATCGGACACATCAGGAGGTGTTGGGGACAGCTGACACAGCACAGCATGGGTGTGAAAAACACACCACAAACCAGTTTCCAGCCCTAGAGACCAGAAGCAGCACCCACGGCAGCCCGTGGTATCATTCCCTGGGGATGCCAGGCAGGGTAGATCCCAGCTCCTCCCTTGCACCCTTGGGGTTTGTTATCTGAGGGGGAAGGGGTCCCTCAGCCCAGCACCCCCCGAAGAAGGGGGTCCCCTGGGCCCAGCACCCCCCGAAGAAGGGGGTCCCTTCACCGTACCGAAGAACTGCAGCCAGTTCATCTCGCGGATCTCCGGCGGCAGCCGCAGGATGGCCATGTCATACATGTGCTCCACTTCTTGCACCATGCGCTCCCCGTCCGCCTCGATGCGCTTCAGCCGCCGCGCCACTGCGGGACACGCCGCGTTACCCCCGCCCGGGGCCGCGCTCCTTCCCGCCGCCGCTCCGCCATCCCTCCCGCTCCCGGCCCTACCTTCTCTGTCGAAGTCCTGCAGGAACGCCTCCATTTTGCGGCGGCGGGTAGCGCAGCTGCCCTTTTTCCTGGCGGGGGCCATTGCGGGCTCTTTCTGCAGCGGGCTGTCCCCAGGCCGGGCTCTCTCTCTGCCGGGCTCTCCTGTCCCCAGGCCGGGCTCTCTCTGGGCTGGGCTGTTCCCAGGCTGGTTTCTCTTGTCCCCAGGCCGGGCTCTCTCCCCTCAGGCTGATCTCTCCCGTCCCCAGGCCGGTCTCTCTCTCTCTCTCTCTCGGCCGGTCCCCTTCAGGCTGGGCCGTCTCTCCCCAGGCCGGGCTCTCTCCTCAGTCCGGGCTCTCTCTCCGCAGGGCGGGCTGTCTGGGCTCAGGCCGGGCTCTCCCTCCCCAGGGCGGGCTGTCTGGGCGCAGCCCGTTCAAACCCAACCGCCGCCCGTTCGGCCAATGCCGGCGCGGCGCGGCCCGATGACGGCACAGCGATGCTGATACTGATGCTGCTGATGGGGACGATGGCGGCGCCCGCGGCCGCGCTCCGTGCCTGGGCCGAGGCGGTGGCTCGGGCCGCGGCGGCGGCGCGGGCGGCCGTGGCAGCCGCGGCCCCGGCGCTGGGCTCGCTGGCCGCGCTGGCGGCGCAGGTGCGGGCGCTGCGGCGGCTGCCGAGGGGCGCCGCGCCGCTCGGCGCCTTCCCGGACCTGCGGGCGCGGCTGTGGCTGAAGCAGCGCGGCGCGGCCGAGGCGCTGCTGGAGCAGCTGGGCGAGCGGCGGTGAGGAGGCGGCGGGGCCGGGCGGGACGGGGAGAGGCCCGGGCTGTCCCCGCTGCGCTGACCCCGCTGTGCCGACCCCGCTGTGCCGGCAGGGAGGAGCTCCGGGCCGTGCGGGACGCCGTGGGGGCCGCCGGCAGCGCGGTGCTGCGGCTCCTGGAGCAGCGGGGCCCGGCCGAGCCGCGGCTGGCGGCGGTTCTGCGGCGCGGTCCGCGCTGCCCCTCGCTGGCCGACGTGTTGGAGGGGCTGCAGGACGTGGAACGCTTCTACCGGCACCTGTATCCTTCTGGGGGTGTCAGGGCAGCGCTGGGGGGGCTCTTTTGGCCTTGTTGTCCTTTACCAGGCACGAAGGTACTTGGAGATTAAACTGCTCCTGCAGCGTCTCAGCTTGGACAGCCTGGCAGATGTGGAAGCCCTCCCGCAGTCCTGGGAGAGGATTTTGGAGCGTTACAAGGACGACGTTGTTCAAGGTAGTTGTGGGTGTTTCCCAGGGCTTTGATGTCCCATGAAGACAGGCCTGGCTGTGCTGGTCTCAGCAACATTTGGTGACCCTCCTCAGTCAATCTTTGTGACCTGCTCTGAGATCTTGGTCAGCTTCAGGGGAAAGTACTCACCATCGCACCTGGGCACAGCTGGAAACAACATCCTCCCTCACAGTGTGGCAAGAGCTTACTGCTCAGTCGGTTTTACCCACACTTTTTAAAAATTTCATTTAGAAGCAAGTTTCGAGAGTACAAAATACAGGTAAAGCACATTGAGCTGACAGGGTTGTTGTTTTCTCTCTGTCTCAGATACACTCCTGAAGGTCTCGCTGTTTGTGGAGAACCATCACGAGGTGAGCTGCTCACCTGGCTCCTGACAGGCAACAGGGACTGGCACCCACCAGCTTCTGGCATGTTCTGCGATGCTGCAAAGGGGATGAGGAGTTGAGTGAGCTCTCCCGCTGCTTTTTGGAAGCTGAATGAGTTGAGTCTTGCCCTCGGCATGAAATGCTTGAACTGTACCATTTTCAAGTGGAAATGGCCATGGTCTCTGAAGAAGAGGCTGAGCTGAAAAAGCCCTGAGGATAGAAGGGAGTCACCCCCAGCTGTGGAACTTGTCCTTTCCCTCTTCTGACATGCACGTCTTGTGTCATCATAAAAACTTTGATACTTACGTACATGAGGTGCTGCAGATGTGTGAGTGTAATAGAGTCCTTCAGGCTGGTGCCGTGGAAGATATTTGGGCTCTGTCCTTACAAATAAAGAAAACATGTCAGATTGGGGTTTAGAGACAGTGGTCACCTCATGTCTTTGAACAGTTTGTTTGCATTCATTCCACCTGGGCGTGGAGGAGGAAGGAAGTAAATCTGGCTTGAAAATGTAACTATGGAGGTGCACAATGCCGAGTCCTGACACGGGCACTTTTCAAGGGTGTTGCAGAACACTGCTCTGTTACCACAGGGCAGTCCTTAAATCAGTCTTAAAATATCACTGGTAGCCACTGCTGACAGCTCAGGGACACCTTTTGTTGGCCATGGCACTGATCCTCTGAGCGCTCCTGGGAAGCAGTGGGGTGTTTGTCTCTCTGTTATGTATTTGGTAAGGTATTGCAAATGCAGGTGAACCCAGTGGGAAGATATGGTGATGTCTGACTCCAGTTCAGAAGGCTAAATGCTTTTTTTATTATAACTATACTATAATACATTAATATACTATTTAAAGGAAGATACTAAAACTGCAAACCTACTTGTTCTAACTCAACTAGTGACCCTCTCTGAGAGTCCAGCCCCAGGGGCGTTGGATTGGCCATCAGGCTCAAACAATCCTCACCAGAATCCAGCCAAGCACTCACCCCCAGGTAAACAATTCTCCAAACACATTCCACATAGGAAAAACAAGGAGCAGAAATAGAAATTGTTTTCTCTCTATGAAAGAATTCTGAGAGAGAGAATATGCCTGCCACAGTAAGGAGCTGCAGCTTCTCAGAGCCAATAAAGAACTGCATGGCACACGTTGTGGGTGTGTTTGTGCTCATGTTTCTGTGTTCCCAACCCGGGACATCCCTGTGGCCACCTGTGAACACTGACCAGTGAACACTGTGGAGGATCAGATCAGAGTGCTGGGGGGTGCCAGGGGTGGAAAAGTGCTGGCTCAGGGTTAGGGCTGCCAGTGCTCCCATCAGGGATGGGGATCACGAGTTTTAGCTGCAGTTCTTCACACAGAGTTGCAATTGTAAAGAAAACCCTCTCCTGGCACTGGGTGTCCTGCCCAGGTGTGTTCTGCTCCTGGCAGGGCTCGGTGGCCTGGTGGGGGCTCACATGGCTGTACAGCCTTGTGCTCCTTACACAGGGTTTGGAGCATGGCTGATGGCTCCATGGGGGTAAAAAACCCAGCACAAACCAGTTTCCAGCGCTAGAGAATTCACCCTAGGGTGGATCAGGGGTGTCATCCTTGCTCAGGCTTGGTGGGTCATCCTCGCAAACCCCTAGGTCATGGTGAGCTTGGATGCAGAATTGTCTTTGCATGTGTGCATGCTGTACAGCCCTTCAACACCCCTCTTCTGTCAGCCTCTCTTCAGGACAGCTGCCCAATGAACAAATGGATTTAAATTCTGGAAGATGTTCAGCACAGTTCGGTGGTGGCCCTTCTGCTTCTCCCAGATGTTTGGCCCCTGATGTCTGTCTTTGTGCTAACAACAGCCCTGCTAAAAGTGCTGAGGGAGCTTTCTGCATTGAAAGTGGCCATACCCTGACTGTACTGACTGAAATGGGGTGAAGGAGGTGCTCATTGAAGTTGTGGTGTGATTAATTGCTCTGTGCTGTTCTGGTTGATGGGCCGTGTCATCAGTTGCATTTGTCTGCAGGGTTCTGCGGGGTGCGAGGAGTCTCTGCATCAGAGCACTCTAATTGGGATCAGCTGTGGCCTTGTTCCATTGCAGATCTGCATCTTCTGTCAGGATGGCTGCCAGGGACCCCATTGCTGAGGAGGACACGGTTCCTGGTGTGTGCAGCCCTCCCTTCAGCTGGCATTTGCCCCGGAGTCACTGGGGGTTCAGGGGTTCCCCATGAACAGAGCCTGGCTGGGCATTTGTCAGGGTCAGCTTAGCAAGACCCCAGCAGTGTGAAAGTTCTTTTTCCCTAGCCTGGCTGCTGAAGAAAAGGTCTGGAATGCGTGAAGCCGAGTTTTCAAGGTTGTTTATTTTTCCTTATCTATAATAGTTTCTCTCTGACCTGCTGAGGTCCAGCTAGTACAGAAGCCATGGCAGTCTCCTTCCAGCCCTGGGCGTCTCCCACATTATATACTCAAAATTACGTGTACCATGTTTACAGTTTCTGTACCAATACCTAAAATCTACATTGGACAAGGTGTCCCTATCCTAAACCAATAGCAAAATGCCACTATCACACCGAGACGTGGAGGGCAAGAAGAAGGAGAAGTAGGCCAAAACACGTCCAAATCCCTCCATCTTGAATTTTAATTTGCTTTAGGATTTACCTTGCACAGTACACGGTGATTGCAAAATGCCTGTGGTGGGCGAGAGACTTGACCTTCCCTGGGTTCAGATTTTGCTATGGAATGGTTCTGGGCTGTTGGCACCCCGGGGTCCAGGAGTGGGGATGTGCTGGAAGGACAAACCTGCTTTGTTGCCCTGTGCTTCCACCACCTCCCCAGGTAACTGTGCCTCCCCACACAGCAGAACATACAGAAATATTAAACATCTATTTAATTTCCCAACAAAGCACCCTGAGATTCAGTTCCCCTCTGTCCCCCAGCACACCACAGCTGCCTCTTCACTGGGGCTGACATGGGATGGCTCCCTGCTCTCCCTGGTCCTTCTCTCCACAGCCCAGACAGTCTCTGGGCCTCCTGGGGAAGGCAGAATGAAGAACATCAAGCCAGTAAGTCTCCTAACCATTCTGCTATGTGAGGAATGAATCCAAGAGCCTTTGAACACTATTAATCTTTTCCAGTTCCTAAGAAAGCAAATGATCTCCTCCTGCTCCCATAAATTCAACCTCTCTCTCCAGCTTCTCCCCTGGTGTTTGAACTGTATGCCAAGAGCTTTATTAAAACCTACAAGATGCAGTTTTGTTCCTCACTGAATCCTAAACAACTGTGCTAGATGGAGAAGAAACATTTGGTGCTGTCAGCTTTAGAGCATTTTTGTGTGTAGTCCATGGCCACTTGTCAGCCAGGGACCAGCCTCAGCCCCACAGTGAGCCCAGCAGGACCTTTGCTCTGCTCCCCTGAGGCTGGGAGATAAATTGAAGCTGGCCAAACCTCACGGCCTCGTGTCCAAAAGCACCTGGCAATGATCCATGTGGGGAGCAGCAGAGGGGATGTTCCCCTGGATGCAGCGTGGCCCTCCTGTGCCAGTATCTGCAGCTTGTCAGTGGCCCTGGGCACAAGCTGTGCCAGGCAGCTGCCATGCCCTGGCAGCTTTCCTCTCCTGCTCTGAGTGGAGAGGATTCTGCTACAAACCCTCAGCCTGTCCCCTTGGCATGACCCGTGACCCACTGCTGGGGTTTGGGGCAGCAGGTGATGGTCCCCGGGTGCTGGTGGGAGCAGAGAAGCTGCAGCTGGTGCTGGCCAGCTCTGGGTGTGCTGGGACAGCCAGGGTGAGGCTGGCAGGTCCTGTGGGTGCACACCAGAGCGAAGGTGAGGTGCACAGCAGGGTCCTGCCAGCTGCCGTGCATCACCACTGCTCCTTGGCACATCGTGTGATGTGACACAGCCTTCTCCCTTTCGTTTCCTAGCATTCCCTCAGTCTGAAACTCATCAAGAAGTGCTGAGAGAAAACATCCACAGACGAAGCCAAAGCAGAAGTGAGCAAAGCTGTTCCTTTGGCTGGATTCCTCCTGCTCCTTGTGTGCCACTCCGTGGTTGGAGCAAGAGCCACCTTCTCTGCCCTGTGCACCTGAGCCATGGGGAGGGGACAGCGATCTTCAGCTGCTGTGGGGGAGAGCTCTTGTTGTGGCTTTGCTCAGGAGAGCTCCCTTTCATGGTGCAGCTCTGCTGCCTCTGCCCAAACCCCCGGGATGTGAGAGAGCAGGTTGTGTGAGGGGGAAGACAAAGCTATAGAGCAGGGCTTGCACAAGGAGTGCTTTAAACTTCATAAATCTACTTGTGAGTCAGATGGCAGGAGCAGGAGAGGGATGGGAGAGCCAGTACAGATGTGCCCAGAGGAGAAGCAGCCTGAAGCAGCTCTGGGACCAACAAGTCTGCAGCTGCTCTGCTGGAAGCAGGCGCTGGGGCACCTGAGGCACTGACAGAAAGTTCTGCTCATGAGGAAGCTGAACAGGAGCCCCTGTGCAAGCCCAGAGCTCTCAGGGGCTCAGCAGGGTTTGGGCAGTGCTGCCCATCACACCTGGCAGCTGGGGTGCCACAGCCCCGTGCCCGCCTGTGGGAACACAGGGAACCAGGAGCATGGAAAAGCCCCAGAGGTGAATAACGCAGCCCAGCTTTTGCTGGACACGGCTCCCCCAGCTCTGAAAGGCTTTTTGGTTTAATGAGATTAGTCTGTAAGCTCTGGAGATGTCAGCCTGCTGGCAGCTCCCTGTTCAGTAGTTCCTCGTGTGCCAGGGAATGATGTTCGTTCCATTGGCCTTGACTCTGCTGGATCAGGCTCTTGCTCTGCTTCTCAATTAGCTGCATCTGCGTGGCAGTAACGAGCTGGAGGTCACACAGCCCAGAGAGGGGTGCTGAAAAGTTCACTTGTGTGGAAGGGAGCCCCCTGTGCCCCCTCCCAGTGGGGCTCTGCACCCAACCTGACCCCTGTTCCCCCCAGGAGCCCCACTGAGGTCCAGCCCCTGCTTATCACTGCCGTGGTGACACTGCACAGCTTGCTCTGTGCTGGAGAGGCTGTGCTTGTGAGAGCTCCGGGCTGGGTCTGTGCTGACATTATTGAAGCTACTGCTAATAAAACATGTCACTACAGGGGCCAGGGCCACATCCGATCCTGCACAGGGAAAGCAAAAATCCAGACAAAACCCAAAACCTCCAAAGGGCTCTAACCAAGCACGTGCTGATGGAGGGATGGATTTCCAGGGATGCAGACCCCGCTCCTGCCACCCTGCCAGGATGAGAGGCACCTCCTGGCCCTGCTGGGCTGGTCCTGCAGGGGGACAAGTGGCACACGGGAGTCGCAGGTTCCCAGTGCCACATCCTCACGCATGTGCTGGACCCTCCCTGTGCAGGAACTACAATAAATGCTGTTGATGCCTCTGCCCGCCCGTCAGGGATTAGGACATGCTGGAGCAATTTGCATGGGGATGAAACTTGG